CGGGGAGAGCGCGCAGTGCGTGACTGGAAACCTCAACACGCCCCTCCAGCCGCTCCCCGCCCTCCGTCGCTGCGCTGGCCGCCCGCTGTGATCCCCGCGTTGATGGGATTGAGAGCGAACGATTTCGGGCCCGCGCGAGGCCCTTGGGGCGCTCCGCTGGCGGGAACACAACCATCCGGGGCAGCGTCGGATGAGTCGACAACGCAGAACGATGGGAAAGAAGAGGACAGGTCCAGCGAAGGAGGAAGATGGATTATCTAGTCTGCAATTGAACTGATATAATGGTGGCAAATCAAATATTTGTATAAATACTATAAAAATTGCATACACTAATTTTCTTACGAATAATAAACAGACTTCTTTACCGTATATTACAAATATTTAAAGTATATACTACAAACGTTTTAGAAAGGGCGATTTGATTCATACTTACCCATATAATACACAACTACAATGCCCCACATTTAAATTTGCATTTCGTAGACTAAGTATATACTTATCATTATTTCAGAAGTATCTAACTTTATAAATTACTCACTTCTCCTTCTATCATCCTTCTCCTCTATCATCTAATTATCAATTTATTTATACCATGGCACACTCTTTTTTTGTAGGTGCCAGGTATCACAATGCTTTGTGCCAAGTTCCCTTCAAACGCTGTAAGGGAAATTAACTCAATATAGAAACATCGCTTTTAGCATCGTATAAATAACAAAAAATTCAATTTGTATACATTTATTTTTTATTTATTTTCAATTTAACGATCAATTTTTCCATATAATTACAAAAATTACAAGTAAATAATTACACCTTAATAACTCAAACTGCAATCGAGTTCAATTCATATTATTACATCTCTATATGTGATTATAGAAAACAAGAACACAGACTAGAATATTACAAGAATAAAGCATAAAGAAGATGCTAATTTTCAATACAGCTCAGATTTGACAGTAATATAAAAAATAAAACAAAAGAACGAAGCACTATAATGAAAATTACAGGAATATTGACAAAATATAGAGAATCATAACAAGCATTAATTACTTAGTATAAGAAATCATTCCAATGTAAAAAGTTTACTCTTTACGTCATTGCTGAACGCTGCATCATTTTACAAGAAAATGTCTGAATTAAACTTATTGACAGCTATTCACATTCTGTTAATAGGGTTGGTAGCTGTGTACGAATGCTTATAAAACTTTTGAGCAAAAAAGAGTGGTCTTCTGGTATTGAAGTTGGAAACTTTAAAATCCAATCGATTCAGTAAAAGTTAATAATCAATAGTGCCACTTAAATGCTTTCGCGAAAACATATCAACATAATCTCTATAAGATTTCAATGAAGGTATGTTCAAACATGAAGCTATGATACTACAAACGTGGCTTTTAAAGGGATCCTGATCCCTGCACCCTGCAAGACATGCAACAAGTCTAAAATATTTATGTTGGACTGTTTCAACTCCAGAGATACTGTTCGAAATACAAGATGACCAAACAACAGAAGAGTTCATAAGTACTGGTCTAATCAAAATCAAATAAAGTGATCTCAATATTTGTAATGAGTGCAATTCATAGCACGCACGCTTAATAAAGCCTAATTGGCCTTATTGGCCTTATTGGCTGTCAGATGAAGATCTTTAAAAGACATTTTGGTGTCATAAACAACACCAAGATCCGTATAGTCTCTTTCAATAATTATAGTGATAATAGTATAATCCCATTCGATCAAGGTTGTAACTCTTGAGAAAGTAATTTTTTTACGTTTAGAAGGGTTTAAATTAAGATTGTCAGTTGTGCACCAGTTGACAATTTTATTTAATGATTCCTGTGATACAATTTTATCTTCAGGAGATTTAATGATCTTAAACATTTTTAGGTCATCGGCGAAAATAATAAATTCAACATCTCTTATAAAATCACTAACTTTATTTATAAAAGTTAAAAACAATGCGTGACCCAGGTGGAAACTTTGGGGTACTCCATATCATCCATCAATGGGTTCAGAGGTAGCATTTCTAACCGACACGTACTGTACACGGCCCAACAAATAATGTCTAAACCACTGAAGTAGAGATCCGAATGAACCCAAACGTTATAACTTGCAGAGAAGAATGGAATGATTCACTGAATCGAAGGCCTTACTGAAGTCAATATAAATATTATCGACTTGAAATTATTCCCCATTCCATTGAGTATATACTGAGAGTAAAACATGAGATTGGCATAATAAAAATGACTAAAATTTATCCTCAATTAATAATTACTCACATGTCCATTGAGAGCGAGAAGAAGAAAAGAAGAAGAAAAGCAGAAGAAGGGAAGAAGAAGAAGAAGAAAAGAATAAGAAAAGAAGAAGAAGAAAAGAAGAAGAAGAAAAGAAGGAGAAGAAGAAGAAGAAGAAAAGAAGAAGAAGGAGAAAAAGAAAAGAAGAAGAAGAAGAAGAAGAAGAAGAAAAGAAGAAAAGAAGAAGAAGAAGCAAAAAAGAAGAAGAAAAGAAGAAGCAAAGAAGAAGAAGAAAAGAAGAAGAAGAAAAGAAGAAGAAGAAAAGAAGAAGAAAAGAAGAAGAAGAAGAAGAAGAAGAAGAAGAAGAAGAAGAAAAGAAGATGAAGAGGAGGAGGAGGAGGAAGAAGAAAGCAATCATTCTCGCTCTCTGTTTCGAAAGCGCGTACAAAATCTGTCTTTCCCCCTGACGCAGCGTCGTGCGATCGAGCGCCGACTGAGCGCGAGCGCGAGCAGGCGCTTGGCCACAGCTCGCGGCCGCGACGTAAAAGACGACGCTTAACGCCGCCGACGTCCGGCGGCAGCGGGCGGGCGCCAGCCAAGCACTTCTTTTAGGGCCGCCCCGGTCGCCCCGGTCGCCCTCTGTGTGACCACGTGCTGGCCCCTCCCGCTCTTCGATCCGCTCCGCTCCGAGATGTTTCTATTGCGGCTTCGGATCTAGAGGCGTCGTGCACTGCATGTTTCATGCGGAAAGCGCCCCTTCGGACGCATCTCTTTTCTTGTGGTTTGCTTTTTCCTTTTAGTTAGCTGAAGACTTTCAACAGTTAATTTGAAACAGTTTTTTAGAGATAGATAATCAAATAGATTTAGATGTACGTTTATTCTGTCAAAAAAACAGTAAAAACTCTATGTGACGTACAGGGGAAAAGATTATTTGCGCTCGCTTTCTTGAGTTCCAAAATCCCTTCCCGTCATTTTAACTATGAATAGTTGAAAGGTGAGTAAACGTTTAACATAAATAAAAATAAATTTTAAAAATAAATTTTAAAAATCGCAAGATTATCAATTTTTGAAAAAATGTCATTTTTTGTTTCTGAGTTATTGAAAGAATTTGCATCGGTACACGAATTGAATGAATTATTTCTCTGCATTGCTAACAAAATAGCAACTCGCCCCTACCTCTACTCTTACCATTACAAGCAAAAGGAGAGTTCAACAAAACGTGCGCATACTAAAGCTACATTTAGATCAGAACAATCCGTTCAACTTCGGCTATACTGTTGTTTTGTGAGAATCTCTCAAAGGAATACAGCGAGTAGTCATTTATTCGTAGTTATTGGACGACAGAATTGCGTTAAACAAACAATTTACTGCTAGTATTCATTAAATATGCTGGAGCAGAATACGTGAATCTCATGACACTTCTAGATACGTCTCCTTCAAATACCAATTTAACCCCAAATTTGAGAATTAAAACTACAATGGAAATAAGAAAACAAAACCAATTGACAACGAAAGTACGATATCCCAAAGAAGAAAATATTATTGGTTGGTAAGCAAGCCAACGTGCACTGGTATTTAACAGGTTCGTGTGTCATGTGCTATACAACAAGCGAGATAAAATATATTTATATTTCTAGAACCTACAGCATACAAAACTGAATTAACTATTTATTCCATAATAACAATAAAAATGTTAACTTGAAATGCTACATTTTAATAATTTTAACTATCTTGTTTCATACTAGTTTTTATTGTAGAACAAATATTGTTTTAAAAATTTCCCATGATACTTTTCCTTCCTCATCAAATCTTTCAAACATGTCTAAGTCAGTTATGTGTTGAATAGAATATGTAAAATGTGAACAACAACCGACAATTTAGCAACGTAAGACCAACGTGTATTTTATATTGTGACAAAATCTAAAATATTTAGTACTCGCTTTATAAGTTTGTTCCCTTGTTGCGGAATATGAAACCTGTGAGTAGAGTATCAGCACCCAAAATGACGCTACAAAACATCATGCGGGCACAGATATTTTACAAATGAATTCTTTATTACTGCATCAGATTTATGACGTACGTCGGAAATATCGATTAGCCGTCACATTTAGATTGGTTTATCATCTTTCATTTTGAATAAGCGTAAAGGGATATCCCAGACGAGAAATACGCGATGAATCAGTGTTAAACCGAATATTTATTGGTGTTACAGTATTTTAATAATGATCACATTACAACTAATGAAAGTATTATTTTGAAGACCTGAGGAGGAAGCGGATGAAATATTCATATTTGTATCCTGCTCTTGAAATTGAAAAGTACACAAAATTTCTTTAAATGAAACGTCTAAGAACTCTTTCAATTATATCATTTCATGCAATCTTAACCCAGTTAAACGTTACTACACAATACATATAATGACGTACATAATTGTAATTTTGTTAGTGAAAAGAGGAAGAAGAAGAAGAAGAAGAAGAAGAAGAAGAAGTGCGCATCTGAACATTAGAATGTTTTGTATTTCTATACTACGATTAAAAAAAAGAATTGAAAGGGAAGAAAACTTGCAGTTAATAAAAAAATCCAATATTAGCTCTCCCGGTTCTCCAACTTTAAGTATAGTCTATTTGGAAAGGCGGTTGCAACATTCTATAAAAAGTAATATTGCATGAATTTGTTTTCCATGTGATTCACGGACGTAACAGGAACACCAACTTGACACATGATGTTTAAAAGATACTACGCTCACGACATTAAGTCTTGAAGTAAGAGATTTCGGCTACCTCCCAAATAACAGTGCACGCCGAATTGCTTCCCATTCAATGCAAAATGTCTCCTGTGTAACTTCTTTTCACGAAATTTCCCATTATTTTTATTAGGAAAAATTGTCGTCTTCGAACCCTACATTCTCTAAATGCTTTCTATAATTTATTCTGAGACACTTCCTGTTGTGATAATGTTTAGAACTAATGTGTTGGTGATAATGTTTAGGAACTGAACTTTTATGCAAGTGTTATTTCTTTTGCTTGGCCGTAGAAGCCCTGAGTTCGGTTTTCTATGCGAAGAGTACCTAGATGTTTATTTAAATATTTATTTTGCATATTTAGGGAATATTGCATAAAATTGCATATCTCAGGATTATACTATATTATGTTGCATATTTTACTCGTAATAATGCATAAAATTCCAAATTTCAAGGATAATATTATTTCCCTAATTTTGTTTTGGTTTTTCTATTAGTGAAAATCTGTTAATTATTAAAATAATAATTAAAATATTAAGTTAGTCAGATTATAATATCACTTGAATTAATTTATTTTCCTTTTTCTTCTTTTCTTCCATTTAACACTTTAACCTGTGTTGCAAAAGAAAAAATACTTGGCTGAGATAATCGCAGAATTAAGTACCGATATGAAGCGTTTAATCTCAGGCCTGCTTTGTTTAACGGTTTAACCCCTAAATCATGTTCTTTAAACATCGATTTTGAGCAGCTTTAAATTTGCACCTGCTACTAGCGTGGACATAGTTTCTTCATTTTCAGTTTACAAAAATAACCTCAAAAATCGCCGTCATACATTTAAACAAGAAAATATTTATTGCATATTTGGACAGTTTATACTGCATAAAAGTCCGATACCTAGCTCTGATAGTGGTGTGTCAAGAAATCAATTTACTTGATTCAACAGGTTAATTCATGGATTTTCATCAGGTCAAGATAAAGAAAATGAAAAAAAATTAAAATCTGAAGTAAATGTAAGTTAAATAAGTTGATTACTTATCTTGACAATACCTAAAATAATATCTCGCAAATGTTTAATTATTTCTACCTACAAATAAGACCAACATAAACATTTCGATTTTTATTTGTGATTTTATCAAACGTATCTTCCATCAACCTTAAACAATCACTTGTCAATAAAACTCACTACGAATTGAAATATAACATTTCTACCTCAAAAAACAGAGTTGGGAAATGTGTATAAAGATTTAAAAAATAAATTGTACATTGTATAAATACGTTTTTAAATTAATGATATCAAATTATACAAATTCTAATTTAACCATATGACAAATCTCGTTGTCTTAGTTTCCCAAAAGGAATCACGCCGAATAATTTCAATTTTATCCTATATTCATTTACGGACAAGATATAATTATATTTTCATTTATACTGCAACAATATAATTATAGTAAATACACTCACAGAACTAATCTTTTCCAAAACTTCTCTTCCGAAAACATGCTAGAATATACAGAGTGAATTATTTCACCTCCATAAATGTATCACAAACATCTGGATATTAGAATGATAAAACATTTTACTGGCATTTTGCTTACAGATTCTCCTGTAATGACAAACATTATTTTTAAAGACACAATTTTCCGAAAGTCTAACATACGGTGATACGTTACACCGTGTTGTGCACTTCACTAGTCCTGACGGTGGCAGAGTTTTCAACTCTAGTTAGATAGCTAGGTTGAACGCAGCCGCTGTCTGGGGCAGATTTCTAGCACTCGGCTGCTCAGATCGGTAGTTTTCTGTGGTTTCTCCGATCAACACCAGGCAAATCCCGGAGCAGTACTCTAACAAACGGGCCATGGACCTCGCGCGATCTTTACTTCTTTTTCCACGTCCTATCCTCACCTCTCCCTTACACACACTTCCACTGGCATGCCCTACACTACCACACATGTCGGGACCCCAATCGGGAGCATAGAACTTGTCCTGGCTGGGGCGGTGCCCCGCTGGTGAGAGATAAGTGCTTGGTGAAACCTTTGCGTGCAGACGTGTGGGCCGGCGCTGGACCTCGCCATCCTGTGGGGAGGATCATCGCCACCTCTCGAAATAAAAACACGAACTACACTTACGGGACGACTCTTGAGCTGTGGAGGCTTCCGGAATCACTAACCACTCAATTAATCCATCTACACTTCACCCGAAAGAAAGCTTAACGTTCTTGATAAGCCCGAGCCTAGTTGTATTGTGTGAAACGCATGTGTGAAAGGCCTGCCCTCAGTGACGAGTGCGACGTTGCTGTCCGCAGTGGCGCACGGGCGGCGGCCGCTCCCATGACCGACTGCAACTGGAGTTCCGGGCTGCGCGCTGGTCGCTGGTGGTGCCCTCTGTGGCCGCCATGCGCGAGGTGGGCCTGGCCCTCTGGGAGATCCTCCAGGAGCTCGACTCCCACTTTCTGGAGGAACACGCCCTCGTGCGACGGCTCGGCCAGCAGGGTAAGCCACGCCCCCGCGCCGCCCGCACGCCCCCTCCCCCCCTCCTCGCACGACCATCGCCCCACGCCACGCGCCGCGTGCCGCGTGCCGCTCCCACGAGGACACTCGGGGCCGGATTAGTCCTTTCAGGGGGCCTAATCATTCCCTCCGTTGCTATTGGAATACCGAACGCGTGAAACCAAAATAAACTTGAAAATAGAGTTATAGCCTTTGATTTTAAAACAATTCAAATTATATATATGAAGTTGATTAACATTTACAAATAGCAGATAATAATTCTTTTAGAAAAGAACTGTGGAATAAAAATGTATTTCGAAAAAAAATCATTAGCTGCTTTGTAAATGTTAATTAAATTCACTTTATTATTTATCATTTACGGTGCTTACCTAATTACGTACTAATATAATATTTGGCGAAAAAACTATTGGAGGCCTTCTAACCAACGGAGACCATAAGCACATTCTTATTGGCTTAGCCTGCTAATGCATTAATCCCGCATGAGGGTAGTAATGTGTCATTTTCTTATTTAAGAACTGGCGAAAATTTTATTACTTAGTTAAGGAGGTAAAGATAATATTCTAATAAGACTATCAGAGAGAGTTCGAGAGTTTTAGCCTTTAATTTAATTTTAATTAAATCACAAAGTGCAAGGGATTTGCTTTAGCTGAAAAGAGTTTCGTTAAAATTGTTCGCACAACTACTAAAGTATTTTCTCATGACTGTGCAAATGTATTACCATGATTCAAGGTGCTCTCAATTTTCACACGCTACACTAATGTTTTTTTCCTTTTTGAATTGGAGCATGTACTTCTGCAGTTGCTTATAACATTTGCAGATGTTTATAACCTGAATAATTGCGAATCTATTTCTTCATATCAGCCCCCATTATTAAGTGCTTTGAATATGTTCGTATTTGTACACTGTAGCTCACTAAAAAAGAATTTTAAAATCTTTTTGTCAGTTAAAATTTAACATTATTACTTATTTTTCATAGAAATTTCCGATATTCTTTCAAATAAATCACATTTTTATCACTCAGTAATTTAGTAATCTAAATATTTCCTTTCTGATAATCCAGCTGTTACAGTAATATTCACGTCTTTCGACGAAGAAAAATATCCAAAATTATAAATTAATATACAATATTAATATAATATGATACATTAACATAATTAATAAATAACTTAAAAAATATCCGAAAAATATTTGGAAAAATATTTCAACGCGTCTTGGAATGACTGTCCTCCTGGAAGTGGTGTCGTAGGCTTCCGCGGCCAGTCACGTGCGTGATCTTGGCTGTCCGGGTATGCGAGCATACCAGCCCTGAGGAAGACTACGACAAGATGGTCGAAACGTCGGCAACACAGCCGTCGACGCGCCGTCACCCGGACAGCCAAGATCACGCACATGTCCTCCTGGCAGGGCGAACCCTCGCCGTTCCGAAGGCGCTGGCGCTGGCGCGTTGGCTCGGAGCCCCGCACCCCCACCCCCACTCACACACGTACCGCACTTGTTGGAACGCACTCCGCCCCGCACCGCCACGGCACCGCCCTCGCTCCGACCTGCCCCGCCGCCGCGGCCATTCAAGCCGCCACCGCCGCTGCCGTCAGATCTCGTGCGATCTCTGCGCGCCCCACCCGGGGCTGTCCGAGCGCATGTAGAGATCCGACAACGATAACACGACATCGATGTTACTAAGTATCGACGTTCAAAATTAAAATAACGATGTTAATAACACATCGACCGAAACCCATTGATGTTTTCAAGCTGATTCAGTTACATACATCTTTAAATTCGAACTTTCATTAGACAATAGTAATGTTTATTCATTTAAAATTAAGATTTAACCGAAAAGAAAATTAAAAAGTGACAATAACAATGCGCAAACCTGACCCTGTGAGACCCTGAGCGCCCAGCCCAAACATCGATGTTAAAAATGCATCCGCTTTAATATAGCGATGTTTGAAACATCGACATTTTTGAATGTTTTGAAAACATTGACATAGATGTCGCATCTCTACTTCGGAGTCCAGAAACCTCACAACTGAACAATCATTATATGTTTGTTTTTCGTGCTCGCTAATATTGTTCGTTGTGGGCGTATTGCAAAGGAATTCGCGTTTTGAGCGTACTTTGCTAATTTGCGCTTTGAGTAAGATTATTTATTTACCAATAAATTTACTACTAGGTTTCCATTATGTTCAGTTGTCACGTTTCACGGACGTTGCGATGTTGAAGCATGATGGACTTAGGCGCATTGATTGCTGATGCATTCACGAGATCTATGGTACACGTGTGTGCAGACCTCGGAAAGAATTCGCGTCCACATTTGGACCTTCACTGGGGCGCCATGAACGTAAAGTGACAAATCATACGATATCATTTGTGACTAAATACACATTTAAATACGTTCATTAACGTACTTGAAATGGTTAAATACGTTCATGGTGCTGTAGATTTTTCATGACTGACAAACATTAAACTTTATTTACCACAGTTCATACAGGCAAGAATTGAAAGATATGCTTGTAAAGTTTCCATCAACAAATATAGCTAATTAGTTCTAAAATGGAACTTGAAATGGATAAGTCAATCAGGAAATTAGTGTGATTTTTCATCTTTAAACAATGTCTAGTGCTTGTATTTGCTGCGGCTGGAAAAGTATGTATTAAAAGTTAAAATATACGAAATCCAGAGGAAAGGGTCATTCATTGTCTGAATGTGGATGAACTTCCGAGAGAAACCGCACGCCCGAGAACGAAAAGAGTGACATTGGGAAGACTCGGCAGCGAGTCACTGAACTCCTCAGTCGAGAGGAGGATTTCTAGTGTTTCCGCTCTCCGCTGGAGGACTCGAGGTCCGGAGAGGCGCTAACGGTGCCAAGCGGAGCGTCGGGTAGTACGAGTACCCGGTTCGGAAGTACGGAACGCCCGCCCGCCCGCTCGCCCGCCGCGCGCCGGCTCTCGGCCGCGCCGCCAGCGGGGCCGGCTGACGCGCGTCTTGAATGAGACTGCCCCGGCCCGCCGTCCGCGCCGCTCGCTCACTCGCCCGCTCGCGCGCTCGCCCCGCCCGTCCGCCCCGCCCGTAGCCCACCCCGCCCCTGGAGGGGCGACCCGCCATCAGGCGGCGTCCTGTTGGCCCAGTTGCAGCGCCGCGCGCTGAGAGCCCTTCTGTGGCGGCGGCGGCGGGCGCGACGGGCGGCGGTCGCGTCGACGCGGAGGCGACGGCGCAGGCCGCGGCCACCAGGAGTCGGGCCGCTCCAGCGCGAGCGCAAGGCGGAGGCGGAGGCGGAGCGGGGGCGTCGCCGAGCGGCGGGGCGGGGGCGGGGGGCACCCTGCACGCGCTGCGCGCCAGCGTCTCCGGCCCGCGCGGGCGCTCTTTTCCTCAGTTGCCGACTCCGTGACTGTTCGCGCGTTTTCCACGAGCTGGTGACATACGTCGCGTGGTCCGTGCAACGGCCTGCAGGTGGGGATCTATACCCCAGGAGCTTCGAGCGAGTGCACAAGCAGCCCAGGTGCGCACTTCCCGGAGCGAGGTAGCGCTGCGCCTGGCGGAAGCAGTACACCTTTTCTACAGGTGCCAGCCCACGACTTACCTCCGCCAGGTCCACCCCGACGCTGGGGCGGGCTGGCGGGCGTGCCCCCCGGCGGGCGCCGCCGCTGCCGCCGCGCCCGCGCCGCGGGCGACGTCGGGGCCCGGGGCCGGGGCCGGGGCGCGGAGCCGCGGCGGCCCCGCCGCCCACTCTTCGGCCGAGCCTCCGCGGGCCCCGGCTACGGGCCTCCGCCGCCCCCGGCCCCCGCCCGGCCCTCCGTGCGCAGCCTCATCAAGCGCTTCAACGAGGTAGGTACGCGCGGCGTCCGGCCACGCCCCCCTCCCCGGGGGGACGACCACGCACACACACACACGCACACGGCACACGACGCATAGTAGATGACACGACACCCAACACACGGCATTCGGCGCGGCATACGACACACGCCACGCGGAACACGGCACGTAGCACAACATACACGCACGTGCATGTGTGTACGCGGCAGAATCATTCCCTGCGCTGTACCTTTACGAAGCAATCCAGCCTTCTCATCGCCTGAAGAGACCAAATCTAATGCAATCGAACTATTTTTGCAAATATTCATTGACATATTACGCACTTAAATATCGGTAATGAGCATATACTTCATTTTACAGTTATCGTTAATGTGCGTATGCTTGATTACAATGGCTTTAATGACTTAGAAATAGAACTTGTTGACATATTCCCCAAAACGTTAAATACTTTCTTGTTAAATTTGTAATCAGCTCTTTTTTACCTATTCCCTTGTCAAAAGGATTACCTATGTCTTTTCTATCTTCATTCGTCTTTGATACCGCGATTTCTTTCTTCTTGAGCCGAAAAGTTTAGCCCAACACAAAATTTGTCTGAATTTATCGCTGATTGAGTATTCTTTGGAACATTTTCTCCCGAACTTCTGACTGATCAATTCTTTCGTGAATTTTAGGTGAGCTCGTGGGTAACTCACCTCATCATCACACAACCAACACATGAAGATCGGAAGGCTGTGCTGTCCTGCATATTACGAGTTGCCTTGTCCTGCTGGAACATCGGAAATTTCAACGGGGCGATGGAAATTGTAGCAGGACTCAAGTAAGCAATGACTTATGAAGTAGAATTGCCTGTCTTATCCTTGCATGATTCTTCATGTTTGATAATTCTTGTTTCTTTAACATACGTATTTGCTCTGGATGTGAGTGGATTTTCTTTTCTATTTACTATTTGTGCATCTTATGTTACGTGTTTCGCATGAAAATAATTTTCGTTTTGATTCAAAACAAATAAGTTAATATGATTTGTATTGTATATTTGTAAAAAACGCTAATTTTGATGGTCTTAATTTTATTGAATGCTTAATTACCTACTTTTCACAATCTTTTAGCAAATTGATGAACTTCTTCTCGGGGTAAGAAAATCGTGGTAAGTTGTGTGTTCGGAGAGCGTTTTGCTGCCAAAGGGAGCTGCTCCAAGCCTGAAGACGCCAGCGTCACGGAGCAAAGGGCGAAAGCCAAACCACGGCTCAGGGGCAGGGGTTTCTTTCGGCCTCCAGCCGACATGGAATGTTGTAGGCCGGCGGAAACTACTTGCCTCTGAGCCCCAAACCAATCGCACCCGGCAACCGACACCCTTCAAGAATCACTCGTTAATGTCTACTTAATTGCTGATCATGTAGTTACCCTTCATACTTGTTTTATTTTAAGAGAGAATTCTTAACAACAGCTGGGCTTTCTTGTATTATCAGTTAGATTACGTATCGTGATAATATCAAGCAATGTTTGTTTGCATGAACACTTTCTCCTGTCCATCATTTACTCTTAACTTGATACATTTTTTTCAGTATTAATATATAAGTGGTTGTAATATTTCTGTGAAATGAGTAACTCTTGTCTATATTTAATATCTTGTGTGGTGCAATTAATATGGTGAATATGTGTGATGTATGAATCGTAAAATCATTTAATGCTTTTATTTTAGGATTGTATTGCTGCGCCTATTGTATTAAGCTCTTTTCTGTGCGAAGGCATTCACTTTTCTTTATAGTTGCATTAAAGTAATTTTCTTTGCGTTTATTATCATTCGCTTATTTATTACCTCCACACTAGTAGTGTTTATTTCTTCCGAGCACTTTTCCTTTCAGAAACGTATCAATGAAATGTGATAAAGGATCTCATTATTCGTTATTTCTCTTCGACAAATCCACTTGTTATCGATACATACCTAATTTTCTTGAGTAAATGCGATCTCTGAAGGATTATGCCAACAGTTAATATTTCTGATATTACTTTTGCTTCTCCAGACGAAGTCCTTTTAAGCATTTAAATCTTTTAATAAACAGTATTTTTTACTACTATCGCCGTGAATTCTTGTTTTCCGAGAGGAGAAACACATTTTGCGCGAAAATATCGTTTAGAAAACGGTACGTTCACGACGGGATCAGCTTTGGTGGCACAAAGCATCAATTGATCTGTCAATAACACTAATCAACCAATCACAACGGGAGGTGCAACCACCTCTTGACATCGTACTTTACAGTAAAAACCAAGCCATAATGCCAACGCGGTAAATGAGTACGTAAATGACTCAAGCTGGGCGCCAATCGAAGGGCTCAAACAGACGTGAAGTCAATCTTTGGGTGCTGAGTGTGGACGTTTTATGGAAGTGCCAATTATGTACTTATTGTAAAAAGATTACAAAATCTCACTTTCCACCTGTGGGACCGCGGTTCGAATTCCGATTAACCTTCGTGACAGGCAAATCCAATTCACTTCAGGCCTTCTCGTAGCTTCTCCGCTTGTCATTAACTCAGTCCGGTTAAATACCGATACACTTCATCGTCATCATGCAAACTCCGAACACCTCTGAAACTTCTACACGACTTCGTATAGACAAGCGTCGGAACAGAAACATCCTCAGGACCTGTTGCTGCTCATTTCAGCATATCGTAATTAGGCCCTACCACCATCATCATCATCATCCCAATCGGCATCACCACCTCTACTACCTCGATCGCCACCACAAACAAGAACATCATGCCCCCCCCTCCTTCAATCCCAAATGAAGTGACCCATCCCACTTAGGTGCTGGAGGAGCGAGCCGGCAAGTGAGCGTTGGCTGCTGAGGAGCGCTGCGCGCGCGCCCGCCCGCCCCGCCCCGCCTGGCCGATTTGCTCGCAGCGGCGCCAGGGAGCAATGTCGTACGTTGTGCGCAGGTCCAACACAACTTGCACAAGCCCTTTCTGCTGTCTATCCAGCAGAGAAGCGCGCCCGTGTTGATCCTGGGGCGGCGCTCATGTCGGCCGAAGTACGAGCGAGACGCTGGGGCGTGCCTCGCCAATGCCCGAGTTGCCACATGGTGCCCTCCTTCGGGCCTTCCCCGTGAGTTGCCGAGATCTTGCGCGAGCCCCAGCCTGGTGGTGCTGGCTCCGACGGGGGAACCCCACCAGTCGCGCCTGGAGGTGAGGCCCTCGTCCGCGGCGTTCGCCCGCGCCCGCGCCCGCCGCCGCAGCCGCTCGCAGCCGCACCCCAACCGCCCCGTGGTAAGCCTCCCCGCCCCCTTGGGTTCGACTCTTTGGCTCCCTCGTGCCCGCCGCGCCGCCTTTTGGACTGGCAGTCCGCGACGCCATCGCTCCACCCGTCGACTCCGTGCTCACAACTTTCGTCTTCAGAGTAGTTTCGAACGCACTCTTTTCCGTTAGTACAACTCGCCTAGAAGGGGTTCTCAACCTTTTTCTTGCAGTGACCCCTGTTTATAGAATTGTTTGCCATATCGACCCCTTACAGTCTGCAATGTGTATACTACATCAAACACAATCTTAACGCAACAAAAAAAAATGGGCATAAATTACTTAAAAATAACATTTATTCACACAAACATATTGTCCTAAATACCTCATTTCCAATAATCGTAGACTCCTCCTTTTATGACTAGCCAAGTTTCTATTACACTCTGTTGTGCAACGATTGCAAAGTGAAGTATTTAGTGCTTTTGGTCATGCTATTTCGGCAATGAATATTCACAGAGAACATTTTCTTACGTGATGGACTCATGTGAATAATTTAGCTATAATGTCATGAGTTTCATTATAATTCTAATGAAGAACAATGGGTATTGAACAAGAGGAGCTTTCCTGTAATTTTGTTTCAGATGTTTTGTAGATTTATATCAGAAAACAAAAGTTATGAACTTCAATTTTTTTTGGAATTACTGGGGTATTGAATTTAATTTTACCAATTAGACCATTTCATATTCGGCCTATCAACACCTTAATCTTCTTTCGCGCTCATTAAAATTTCATTGACCCCCATAGGGGTCAATTTTGACCCAGTTGGGAATTCCTGCAGTACAGTCTGAATACTGAATCCCTACTTTTCAATTATCATGATCGAAATAAAGGTGTTTTGTGAATAATTACGTGAACTTGTATTTTTTCAACATCAAATATTTTACTAAAAACAAGAATAATGAAGACCAATGTTTAAAATAATATTCCTTAAAACCATTGCATCTTTATAAAAGTTGTCATGTTCATTACTAATCATTTTTACATTACAATTATTTAAATGGGTATTAAGGGAGCTCATTGAATTTTTAGAATGTAATATTGTTTGAAACTGAATTTTTGAACTTAAGTGTCAATTTTGTCTCGCGTTTATTTGACAACATTGAATAAGGGAATTTTTAGTGGTGGAAAAGAAGACGCTTTGTTTTCAAAGGCCACCTCAGTTATTGCTGATCAAACTAAAAATATGAACTTAGTGCTGATGTATAATGTTCTTCTGATGTCCATGTTAACTTTTGTTGAATAGACATTAAGCATTGCATTAGGAAGCTCAGCCTCCCGCCTAGAAATAGCCACCCTTGAAACGGTCGCGGACTGCCATTCTAAAATAAATTTACTGTACACACCGATACTCTCCACATCTCTTTTGTATGAATATTCTCTGAGGCTGTGGAATTTCAAATTACCAACTTGTCCAGCAGAGTAAACAGTGGAATGTCTGTGATGGAGGAAAGTTACCCTTCAACCTGTCCATGCATTTTCAAGATTGTATATCACAAGGCATTACTTAAATTTGCTTTATACGCTGATAAATTTCCTAATTGCGAGAGACATACAGAAGGAAGAGAACTCTATATGTACATTTTTTTTGGAAGTATTTTTTAAATTCATCAGAAACTATTGATGGTTTTCAAGCCACTTCTTTAGTACCATGCAAAGGTAATTATCTTATTCAGTTAACCTGTATAAAATATTCTCTCTGATATTGTTAGAATGTATTCATGTTAATTTGTTTCCTATTTGTCCAAGAAAAAGTCCTGGCAGTTCGACCCCAAACAAATCCACTGGTACCCACCAAGTCATTGAACCCAACTGTACAGATATTAATGATGCAGCTTTGGTGAGATGAAGTGAACCAACCAAATAAGTCATTTTTGTTCACTCACATTTTGAGATACAATTTACGTACTGCCCACCCAAAATATATTTTTTTGTATTTGTTTTTGTTTTTTTGGGACCTTAAATTTACAACTTCATCAAAATGAAAATGTCACTGGAAAACTATAGCTTTTCAATTTCATTTCATTATTTTACCCTCTTTCAAAAGCTAATTCAATTGTTTTAAATATTAAAGTTGTATTCCACGCCTATCTTTAAAATTCATTTTATTTGTCTTCTTTGATAATCCTAGTAGCTTTTACTAGCTATACTAGCTAATATAGCTAATACTAGTAAGCTTTAATAAAACAGAATCACCATTAATAAAAAAAATGTTGCATGATGAATTCTATTTACAACAATAAACAACACTACTACATATTATGATAATTACTTCCACATTATTATAATTTTTGAAACCGACATTTGAAAATTTCCGGCTCCTCTATGCTCTGCCTTGGATGGCCAACGGCTCTTCCAGAAGAGAAACTTATTCCAAACTCACTACATAGAATAATGAAATGATAACCTAGTCATGCATAGCTTGAAACCAGAAGAAGGACCAAGTGCTCTTCTGGACCCCCTTTTCCATGAAACTTTTTTATTTACACGTGACCTATTTTACTAGTAAATTAATAATATATTCTACATTGAGAATGAAATTATAACAGTGATGGCTTGGAGAGCATCTTTCCTAAATTATTAGTTAAAAAAGGAAAAATTCAGGTTTTAGACATATTTAAGGAAATAAAATACTGTATTATGCAGGGCTGTGGGAGCCCTTTTCAAAATATTTAGGAGGCAGAGGTCCTTTGCCTCCTTCCATGCACATATCTATCTAAGATAAGTATTTTTACACACATCTTTTGACTCTAGAGCTGTTATTCACAACAGCTTAGGAGATTTTGGTTACACTAATGAGAAAAAAGTAAGAGTGAACCTGAATAAACATAATGTTTGGAACAATAAGAAGATAGGGGATAGAAAAATGTTCAGCAAATTTAAGTATGAGGAAATTTACTGCAGGTTAACTTAAATAAGACCAAAGGCTGATAATTGATAAATCAGACAGAAATGACATGGAAACCATTATTACTTTGAATGAAGTTTAAAAACTTCTATAATAATATTTTGAGTTCTCCTTTCAGATTTTGTGTACTAGCATCAACATTAATGTTTTAGTGAGTGTGTAAGTTCCATTTCTCTTCTCCAAAGCAATACATTGATGCTTGTCAAAATATAAAACAAAATAATGATGATTAAAATTGAAAACTTCTCAGAGATATATTTTGATGATCTCTTCTAGTGATTTAATATTCACATGATTACCAAAAATTAAAACTTAAATTGAACAATATATTCAGATATGAGAACACTCTTCATAAGTGCAAGACATTAATCAACTCTTGATAAACTTAACTTAAAAAATTATAAAATGAATTTAATATACATATAACATAGTATTCAGAGAGAAGAGAGCGCAGCATTCTTTATTGATGTTCAGATTGTTTACACTGCTTGATAAGTTTATAAGTCTGTTTCACCTTCCCTGTATCTTGCCAGATCGAAAGAAGGGCAATTATTTTTTAGACATTCATTCATGTACCTTCAAAAACATAAATGGTAGATCAGGATGCTAGAAGCGCTGGCATGATTGTTGTTATTTCTATGTGCATTATATTTCATTCACATCAACTTATATTGAACTTAAATATTGATGTACTATTTTGGGTATGTGGATGTAATATGTAGTGCATGACTGTAGTGACACACTCATCATGCATGTTTCTGTGTATATGATGAGTACAACTAAATCATCATACATTATTGAACTGTTAATGTAAAAATTCCAAAATTTCTTGTTGTTCATTGGCTTTCTAAATATGTGTACAAATAGTCAAAATGTTTGTCCATCAAACATGCTGTCTCGCAATATGGGCACAAGTAAATTTACATTTACCTTCGAATTGCAGCTTGTACAGTTAATGTAGAATGCCCAATATCTGGCAATTTTCTACTCCATTGTTTTTTATCAGTGATTGGTGTCTCCCTTTCATTACACCAATGCATGATAATTACTGTCCCTTACTATTCAATATGTTCGAACCCTTGGGTGGGCTGGGAGGTGATGTAATGAAAAATATATAGTATTTAATACATTGAATTTTATGTCCCAAAATATGAAGACAATTAAATATATAATATTTAATTTTGGTATAATATTTTAATGTGTACTTAACCTCCTTCAACTATTTACAAGGCAAAAAATGTATAGTCAATTTGATACAGTACTGCAGTCATGAATATTGCTATTTAGTTACCCTGCTTTATGAACAAAAAAGGAGAAAGAGATTTGCTAAAAATGAGCAAACACTTGTATTGTAGTATTTAAACATCCAAAAATGTCTAGAACCCTTATCTGCCTGAATTTTTTTTTTTTTAATTTCACATCATTGTACAATTTGTAAAAAATTACTAATTTTTTTTTTTTCTCAAAATTTTTCTCATGGTGACACCTTTTAGAATGTTATGACAAACAACATGAAGTTATAATTCCATTACTGCAACATTTTAAGGTGAAAGTTTGAACTATCTACAGCTTCGAACTGTGTGCCCTTTCAGAAACGCTAGGTAGATAAGGAATTGAAGGCTATTTGACTTGCCCTCAGACTAGATATTTATGTCAAGTTAAATGCATCCAATTATCATATATTGCAATAAAATCTTACATTACCTTAGTATTTTCTCAATTACAAATTCAACATAAATAACAATTTATTTTTCTCCTAAAATGGAGAAGAATAGTTAAAATTATTCCTGCATTGATTCTGATGATAAAGTTTTCATTCATTACACAGAATAGAGGTTCATTACTCTAATTAAAAAAGTGTACCTAATAAAAATCATAAACTATCTATGAATATTATTACTAGATAATATTCGAAATCTTTTAAAATTACTTTTAATGGATGTGCATGTTTAACTTTGACATGTTTAATTGAAACCTAAAATTATTTTGTAAAATTGATTCTAAAATAGTTACAAAATTTAACAATTGAAAACTTGTTAAATGAAACAAATGAATTTAAATTAGTGTAATTGATGCATTTTGTATTCATTTATCATACATATTTTGCCATTGATTAGTTCTTGTAGCAGGGTGACCAATACATTTAATGAATAGGGCACATATTATTATTTAATTACTTTTATTTTCTGACTTCCATGATTTACTCTAAATCTTTGAAAAAATTGTGTTCTTTTTTTGTGGGAGATATTTGGGATAATTACATGTATTTTTTGGATCTCACTTTCTCACAATGTTGTATGAGAGGTCATGCACTTTTCTTCATGTTCACTGTTTCTAGTTGATGTTCTGGTTTTCAGAAATTCTCTCTGTTCATCTCAATATTGTCAAAACCCTAATTATTTTGCTTAAAATTAGATTTTGTTGTTGTTTTTTTTTGTTGTTTTTTTTTCCTATTTGAAATATTTGTATTCCTGGCCGTACCTTTAAGTCCATTGTCGTTTAAAATGTGTAGATTGACAGTTTCAAAATGTTATAATGTAATAGTTATCTGCAAGTATGCTTGATATGTTTCAGTGTTGGGTTGCTTATTGTATGTTTTGTCTGAGCAATGGATGGTTGGTGATATCTTTAATGTAAAAATCTAAGAAAATTTAATATTACACATAAATATGCAAGTTTTATATCCACAGTTTATTTCTGACTACAATGGAGAAGATCATTATTTCACCAGGATTGGACCTGGAGGACTAATAAATTTAGATAAAATTTACAAAACTCAGGCTGTGATGGACAGGATTGCTTCATTTCACCAACATTACCATGCAAGAGGAAGGGAATCTGCACCTCACCTCCTCAGGGACCAAATTAGGTTTGTTTAATTTCAGATGCAATTTGTCTATTTTAAAAACTGTATTAGCACATTCAATAAACTATTAAATTACATTTTAAATATTTTTTGTAATGTATTATCAGTATTCATTATGAATAAAAAATAAAGTTGTCTCTAAGATATTAATTTAAAATTATAACTTGCCATTTTATCATCAGCATTCACACATCTAGTATAGAACGTTCATACCTGCTTGACGAATCAGAAGATCATGATTATGATATTGATTTGGACACATATCGGCCTGTGCAACCTTTAAGCAATGACCATGGAGTTAGCTTCTTTCCCATCTCTGCTCCTCATAGTGGGATTGATCATCATGTTCTCCAGGTATTAATAAATGAATACCAATGAATAATACTTAAAGAATTTTTAAAGTAAATAATCACTTGAAAACTAATATATTATTGACCAAACAATAATGATCAGTAAAATGTTATTGTTCAAATAAGAGGTCTTGTCAACAAATTCTTACAACAAATCTTCTCTTACTCTCATTATTCTAGGTTCTTCATCATGGAAGTACAGCAGTTCATTGGGATGCTGAAGGTGGGTCAAGAACTGCTTTAGTATACATACGACTGGAAAGAAGCTGTGCCACTCTGACATGGAGCCGACCCGGTTGGAGTGGGTTGCGAACTGGAGCAGGTGGGGGTGGTTCCTCGCCCGACTACAGTTTGTCTGCTAACCCTGAAGAAATGGTAGCACCAGCTTTGGCTGCAAAACTAGCTGGAGGTGAAAGTGTAGGAACAGCTTTGGAAGAGGGATACCTGGATTTGGCAGCTGTGAAAGAAATTACTTTGGGTGGACGAGATCGCGAAAAAGATCCTGACTTGGCTACTGCATGCAAACGATATGGATTGGATCGCTTTCAAGTTTCTGAATGCTGCCTTGCCCTTGTCTATGGTGCAAATCTGAGTGACAACCGCGTGCTCTTCATGCTTTGTCCTCCTACACTGTGCAGGTACAGAAAATATGAGTTAATTTGGTATAAATTACAACTGCTGATATCAATCACTCTTGCAACCAAGATATTGTCCAGTTTAAAAGCTGAAGAAAATGAAATGCTTTTTCTTAAATTATTGAAACAAGGAATGTGTATTGACATAAACATCATAATTACAGATTAAATAGCATAAAGATAACTTCCAAAATTGTATAATCATTTCAAATAAACTTAAATAATACTTAAGAAAGCATACATTACTATACCTTAGCTTTAAAGTAATGCATGACATATATTTTTATTTAGACTTTTGGTTCATGAAAAATATATAATTAGTTCATTGAAGTAATTTTATTTTTACTACTGCAGCAACTAGTTTCTAAATGTTTCATGTAATTAGGAAAACTATTCTTTTATTGTTGACGACAAGTATCCTATATTCTCAAGGCAATCAACACACACTTATTCAATAAAAGAAAACTTCATTTACACATCACATAACACACAATATATTTCATGATCATATTGGTCAAATCTTCAAGTGAAAACAATCTGGATAATCGCAAAAAATATGTCATTACAAGTCAAAAGAACAAAAGATACCTTAGATTGAAAATAACTTAGATAAAGATATTAACATTGAAACAGAACCTGAAAAGTCTAGTAAGTGATAGACCTGCAATTCTCTTTATCTTATTTCTTAATGTCTTTTGTTCTTTTCACTTTTAATTATTTTTTTTTATCTTTTTTATCCATATTGTTACTTTTTTCTCTTGGAGATGTGATTAATGTGGTCACACAACGACATGTGGTATGTGTCATGTGAATAAAGTTTCCTTTTATGCAATAACTGTGTTTTCATTGTCTTGAAAAATAAGATACGTATGATCAATATTATAACACTGACAAGCAATCTTGTTGAGATCATTCCTGATATTTTGAAGAATTCTTTGATTAATTGTCAAAATGTTTAGGGTGACAGGATGACTCGTATAATTGGCTATAAGAATGATTATCTTCTGAAAGCTCATGAACATTAATGCCAATGAGGACCAATTTCTCTCAGTATTTTCTGACAAAAATATATATTAGTAGAAAGACCCCTTTTTCTATGTTTTAGAATGTGGCACACAGGCCTATGTTGGGTGGTACGTGGCTTGAAGCGTCAACTTCAACTCACTGACAGGAGAATGTTGTGGCTTAAGGAACAGTACCTGCAATTATATTTTGATGAGTGCTGCTGTGGGCCTATGACAGCTGATGCTATTCGAGTAAGAATACAATTTTTACCCATCCCTTTGTATACATTACGTTTCTGGGACCCAGTTTAAAAGAATGTAAAAATTGATAAGTCACACTCTCTGATGCCTATAATGTTATTTTCTATTATTGTCTCAATAACTACTAGTACTTTTTTCCAATTTGAGAATCAGAATAGTGTAAGAAGTTATCATTATCAATTTCAGGTTTTTGGAGGCCGTGATTGGGCCTTAGCTGGCAATGTTGGAGGAATGTCACCTCCTGATAATGGAACATTAAGAAGAGGAGCATCAGCTAAATTTAAGAAAAAGAAATCTATTGGCAATATACAAGCTCTCAAGGTATATCTATATAAATTGTCTACATATTGTTCAGATAAAGAATTCATTACATTTTTTAAAAGAAAAAGACAAATTATAATTTTTCTTAATATATTTTGTTTGGGTACTACATTTTTTCTAAAATTATTGTAAAAGTATAATCGAGTCCAAATTATTACAAGTAAAAAATAATAAATGATAAAAACATTGTCCATACTAGGTCAAGCACGCTCACATCATTCTGTAGGTTGAGAGTGGACACCTGAAAATTAAACTATTTAAATACATGATAAAAACATTAATAACCATAAATTGTTCATCATTTCTTTACTTTATACTTTCCTGAAAACAATAATGTTATTGTTTATGTATTTGGAATATTACAACTATTTTTTGTTTTTATTTTATACTTTAAATACATTTTTGTACATAATTTAAAATCCAAACATGCAAGTTAAAAAAAAAAAAAAATTCAAGGCATTTTTCAACAATTTTTAAGGCATAGACAATTTAATATTAACTAGTAATTCTAGAAAATCTAGTTGAGAGAATTTTGTCTTGGGACATATCCAGAATTTTTCTGTTGTTTTGGTAAATAATAAGGAAAAAATTAAAGGAAAAATGACTGCCTTACATTTGAAACTGCTTAGTTATCAGTGCAAGTAAAAAGAATTCCTTCTACTTTTTTATCCTAATCAAACAAGAAAGAACTCATAAGCAATCAAAAATAGTAAAAGGTCTTATAAATTGCAATCTAATATTTACCTCTTTATCAGTATCTTACATCAACCATTTACCAATTTGTGTTTTGATCTGTTAATTTTGTGCAAAACCAAAGTAGAATAAACAAAAGAATTAATGTATGAAATGAGTGATAAAAAATTTGTTCTATCAAGAATTTTTTTAAGGTGAATATACCATTCACTTCTTTTGGAGTCTGTCACATACCATACTTAATCTTACATTGAGGGTTTGCATCAAACATACAGTCAAGTTTCTTTCATTGTCAGTATTTCAAATAACAGCAGACACAGACCATTAACATATTTGAAAGCTGAGTAATGACTAGTAAAATTGGAAAATAATTGCAGTGCTCACCTCTCGGCGTAACAAAGTTCAAAAACATCATCTTTGACTATGCACAGCCATTATCAGTGGTCTAAATAAAGAGAAATGGTGTGTATCAGTATTAACATAAGAAGAACTGGGCATTTAAACTTCATCAGAGAACCATAAGCCATCATTTTAACAGCTACCACTTTAATAAGTAAATATTCCCCTGTTATTTTATTTTATTAGTGATATAAAGTCATAAGACCCTTTTGACTTCCGGGTATTTCAAGAGGAATTATTATTTCTATTATTTCAAATTACTTATGTAATTTCAGTTTCTAGACATTATCGCTGGGAAGAATAGAACTGCATCATTTCTTATTATTCTAATAAAAGTAACACAATATATTTACACTACATTCAGTAAGGGAAAGGTGAAATGGTATGATTACATATCTTTCAAAAAAATTATACCATAATATTTCCTCTCCTATTTACCTTCTTGAAAGTGAAAATAAAATGAGCTGTTTTTATTCTGAATGGTACCAATTGTTTAAAATATAAACATAACTCTAAAAAAAGTTAGATTCTTTTTAACTTCATACCCACAAGTCTTTCCATTGATTACATGCCATTCCTGTAGCATGGCTAGGAAGTTTAGAACATTAGGCATCTGGAAATTGTGGGTGGAACATGTTTTGTATGACATGCATGCAACTGAGGTGCTGATAAATGTTTGTTTTTCATATTAAATTTGAATCCATTTTATAGATTAAATTTTCAATTAACTCCAGTAAAATTTTCAGATATATTCCATTTTACTCTGATATACTATTGGAATACTAACACTGTTTATTAACTGCTTCTTTAAAAGACAGAAACATTACCCATTAGTTTCTTTTCTTATAAAAGCATGCAAGAATCAGTGTTGGTGAATAAGTTGATTAAAAGAAAACACATAAAACAGACTATAAATCTCTTCAATTTTAATGTAAAGCTGTAAAATATTTTATCTTCTTTTAGTGTTATTTGAATGCCATACTAATTTTATTCTAAGTGGATTTTAGCATCATTAATGTTTTGTACAGCATTTGTAAATCTTTTTGTTAAAGTTCCAAATCTGACTAATGTTGCTTATCATTGCAGGACCTAAGTTTGAAACAGCCCCATGAAACATCTATTGAACCTGGTTCTGGTTATCTGAGGCGTCCAACTGGTTCTTCAGGAGGACCAAGTCCTAGTTCAGGCCCAGCAACAAGTATTTTAACAGCTACTCCACGATCAAGAAGCATTTCTAGTGATATGGAGGTGCGACAAGGACTAATGGGCAGTCCACAAGGATCAAGTGACAATCTAGATAAACTATCCTCCTGCAGTCCAACTCATCATCTGAGCACCAGTGGCCTACACAGGTTGGTTCTTGTAAAATACCCAGATCCCCTTCCCCCATTAAAAAAGAAAAAAGAAAAAGAGAAGAAAAAAATCTGTCAGTTTGATATCTTATTTGTCTTGTATTGTTTTTGCGTTATCGTATGTTAAATACAGTGAAAGTAATATTTATTTTGTGATTTGGAAAGTTACTAGCTCAGTATGTAGTTTTAACGTATCTTTCCCATTAATGTTTGTTTTAGTCTAAGATAGACTAATGTTTATGCTTAGTGTTTTATGAGTAACTAAGTCATCTCTTCCTTGCAATAATTCTTTTCATTCTCATGCATCTAGGGGAAACATTTCTATTGTTAATTTAATGTAATAACAAAAAGCGCTTATTACTCACATCATTACTGCTAGATCCTGTTACCTTACTGTGACTCGTTGGAATTGCAATCTTTGCATATTACTTATTTAATTAATTGCGTGAGCCCCTTTTACAAATGCATGCCTTAGAACAAGTTCATTTGTATAACATCCTTTTATATTGACTGTATCTTTTAATTAGTATTGTAGATTTCAGTAATATACACTTGGTTTTTTCTTTTCTTTTTCCAGGGAGAAAGGAAAGTCAGTGGGAAGTGCAGATGTCTGGCAAATGAGGCACATCAGAGCAGGATCTATCACACATGAAACTCAACTTGATTTTGTTGACTTCGTGGCATTGTTTCGTTCCTTTAGGTAAATAAACAAATTTTTATGCAAAAGTATATTAGAGGATTACCACAATTAAGTTGAGAATAAAAAGAGATTTATTAAAATATCTAAAGTTATGTTGCATATCAATATTTGTTCATTACAGCTTACGGGCTCGTAAAGACCTAAGGGATCTGTTTGAACAACTAGCTATTACATGCAGAAGTATGTCTGATAGTTCCCTAAATGATGGCAGCATGAAGAGTTCTCCAGAACACATGACAAAACCCCCTCAAAAAATCGGTATGAAAACATATATATATATTTTTTTTTAATCTAATGAAATGGTAAACTGATTTCATAGAATCCCTCTCTAACTCATTTTTACAGGCTTATTGACAAGAAATAGTTCCTTGGATCTTCATGAATATAAACATTCAGGCAATTTGCAGAAAAAGAAAATCTTTGATGCTATTGCTGCTGCAAGTATTGTATCAAATTGTGCTGGAGTTGATACATCAAAATCTCAAGTAATAACACTGCAAAATTTTATGAAATTCTTGGAAACTAGGCAAATGGAGCAACGTACTGAGGATGAAGTGAGAGCACTTGTTCAGGTATGACAGAATGACAATGCAAATTCATAAGTACAAAGAAAACAAACAAATTTAATTTCTAAAATTTGGAAAATTGAATTACTTTTTTTTTTCTGAAATAAGAAGGTCCCCAAATGCATATGACAATATTTGTAACATTTATTACAGAGACACGAACCTGATCCTCTGCTTCGATCACAAAATTGCCTTTCTTTTGAGGGTTTTGCACGCTATCTAATGGACAAAGACAATTATGCATTTGTTAGTGAACGAATGGGTCCTAATGAGAGTAACATGGAACAACCACTTTCACATTACTACATTGCTTCATCACATAATACTTACTTGACTGGTCATCAATTGAAAGGAGAGTCCTCTGTTGAATTATACAGTCAGGTAAATACATTTCCTTGGAAAGTGAGTACATCAAATATTGCCACGATTTTTTGTAATAGTAATGTTTTCCATTCAAGGTTCTTCTTACTGGTTGCCGATGTGTTGAGTTAGACTGCTGGGATGGTGATGATGGTTCACCCCTCATTTATCATGGCCACACATTCACCACAAAAATACCATTTCGGTCAGTGGTGGAAGCAATAAATCGCAGTGCATTTGTAACATCTCCCTATCCTGTTATTCTTTCAATTGAGAATCACTGCTCAATCCAACAGCAAGTCAGAATGGCACAAATATTTCAAGTATGTTTTTCTGAAATAAATTAAACAATTTTTTTCTTACAAACTTTTCAAAACTTAAATATTTACATTGTAGTACTTGTTTGTATGTGGAAGGAGTTGTTAAAAATACATTTTCTTATGTTCTGAAATTTTCTTTTCTCAAAATAGTGTGTTTTTGGAGAAAAATTGATAACCAAGTTCCTGTTTGAAGCTGATTTTTCTGAAGATGCTCAACTTCCTTCTCCATCACAGCTTCGTTATCGCATCCTCATCAAAAATAAAAAATTAACTGCTGATATTCCTCTCTGTCCATCGGGAATAATACCCGTAAGACATGGAAGTAGCTCTCACGCATCTCAGCGTGGAGTTAGTAATGCCCCTGGCAAACAGCCATCTTCAGGTCGTGCAAGTTCTATTACCAGTGGAGGATCAGCAAATGATGATTTTAGTGATGAAGATGATGATGACGATGACGATGATGATGATGAAAATCTGGATGGTACGTGCATTGCAATATTCCTCAAAGCATGGTCTAGTGTCAGAATTCTCACTGAATTAAATACAATAATGAAATTTATTTCAAAATATTAATTTTCTTTCTTAGTTATAATTTTTTTACCTTATAGTCTTTACTTACATATTGATCTGAGTTTAAATGAAAATAACAAAATAGTTTAGTAGGATATTAGTGTATATCTTCCTAAACCCATTTCTCAGTATGTATTCTTTTGATTGAACTGCTGTCCCTTTCTAAAAGAATTCTCAATTGTTTAATCACTGCCATCTTGTCAGCAATCCCCCTTGGTCAAAGTCTGATCCAGCACTTAACAAATGAAGATCAATTTAAACTACATTTAAGCAAGTAGTTAAGGTTAAAAAAAATGGAACTCTACAATATTTTTGACTTGCTAGAATTGAATCTTGTAATTTATTTGTATTCCCATGCATGCTAAAAATCTTTTAAATATCTACAAGATAATAGCAATAAATGAAATGACTTTATGGAAAATGCATTTATTACATTAAAATACATTAATATCTGGTCTTTATTTCCTTCATTTTATTGATATAACTATTACAATAAAACAACTTTGATAAACTGTGGAGCTTAGAATGTGATGTAGCATATTGGGTAGAGAAACATAATCATTTCACATACCCAACGTCAATTTCTGCTGAACTGTCTTCCCTATGCCCCCCCCCCTCCCCCCACCGTCCATTAGATAAGATTTCAACTACTAACACACCATATATTTTTTTATTCTCTTTATGATATCAAAATCTGGTTTTGGTCATCCAGTTTGTGAAGTGGGAGTGCACTTGATATAGGTTTTTTTTATTGATTTTCAATTCTTTTACTTTGGGTGTATTTCAGGAAACTGTTTAAAATGGTTCCACCAAATATTGTATGGGAGCATCTGAAGAACTTGTTTCAATAAAACCACATGTGATACCTATATCGTTAAATTCATTGTCAGATTTTTAAACCAATTCCAACAAAGTAAAATCTATGATCCCAAGAGAAAAAAGAATTCCACTAGAGTAACCATGAAAGTGTTGGAAGCCAATTAAGTATTCTTTTGTAAGTGCCCCTATGTTACTTTCTTTTTAATCCTACCCTTCTATTTTCTACAGAATTGGCACTAATGGGGGCGGGCTTAGTTTATTGGTTTTACCTACACTCCATTTCTATCATGATTTGTGTTTCTAAAGCTGGATACCTTTCCTGATGCCAATCACAGGGGACACACAAGCACATTACACATAGACAACACACACAATCACGAAACACACACCAACATGCCCAAAGTGGGATTCAAAGCCACATAACTTCAGTCCGAGATTCCTATGATAGTACTCCAACAGTGATCTCGGCTACATCGATTGGCACCCCTTATTACCTATCAAATGCTAAAACCTGGATTTTGATATTTTAAATGAAATAAAAAAAATTGGGGTGCTAGTAGTTATTGAATCACTTTGTAACAAGAACATATCTGGTAGTGATGACTTGTTTAACAGAAATTGATTTTGGGTATCTGAAACATTAGTTTCTTATTTCTTTCATTTCTCATTCTTCTTAATTTTTATCTCCTTTTTTCTCTTCCAAATTATGAGATTTCTTTACATAAAGGAAAGGTATGTATTTAAAAGAACACAAATTAAACAAAGGGAAAATACAAACTGCTTAGAAATAAGTGTAAATCACAGTTTTTTTGAATTTTTATTAATATATTTTTTATATTATTTACTCACCATCCAATAAAATAACTTGTGATGTATGTATGTATTATTTGTACATAATTTATCTCAATAATTATTCAATTCTGTAATAAATTGAACCTCTATTTAAACAACTGTTTCGGGGTGAAGTCCCACTTTTGTTGACAGTTACATGCATTACCAAATTTTGCTTTAACAAATTTTTGGCCAAAAGAACAGTAACATATAACAATTACTGTAACATATGGTTAAATGATCACCAACATTTTTAAATCATACAACAGCGATGAAAACAGATCAATTTGAGAACATTTAATTTAATGTTCACATGGATAGTTTTCTTGTGAAAAATGGAAAGCATTACAAATTTTTGGAAAAAAAAAATGCAGACTCAAATGTCAATGCTTGAAGTTTTGTTAATCAAGGAGCAGACTGAACAATATGAATATATAGTAACAAAAAAAATATTAATTAACGTGATCTCATTTGAATAACTTTTTGCAATGTACTAATTAAATTTTGTGATATGTTTTATACAAAACAGAAACTTGGAAACATATTTTCATAACATAAACATTTTTTTCTAACATTTTTTCTAACCTAACTCTTATTATGATAGACACATTGCAAAACCTATCACAGGAAGTGGCTAACAAGACGTGATTTAGAAGAAATATACAAATAAGATACTTCAGAACACAAATTAACAAACTCTTTCTATTCTATCATTTCTTTTCATTAGTCTTTCTTTTTGTATCATTATTCAAGAAAGTCATGCAACTACTCTTTGACTGAGTAGTATAAGGTAGAGTTATTGACTCGTCTGCTCCAAACGTGATTTCAGAAAAACTTTTGGGACTCTATAGCACTGAGGATAAATCATTAAGTAAATCTTCCTCAATGGGACCACCTCGTACAGATTCTATGTCAAGTCATGAAAGCATCTTAAGATCTGATCGAACTTTGTGGACTACAGGACAATCATACAGAATGACACGCAATCCTGCTGCGGACCCGTGGATTATGGATGATGAACCTCAAGCCAAACCTAAGAAGCAAAGCAGTCAGATAGCAAAGGAACTCTCTGATATGGTGGTATACATCCAGGTAAGTAATTAAAGATGCAACCATGCTTGAAGGCAAGTTAGTACAAGCTTAGAAAATAATTTGTTTCAGTGAAAAATGTTAGTTTAGTGGAAATTTACCTTGTGGGCTTATTTTTCTAATGTTCAAAAAGTTCATAAAAATAAAACTAAGATTGTATAAAAACTTTGTAGAGTTCAAATTTTGCATTGAAATCAATACAATAAAATTAAATTTTCCGTAACCTTTATAAATTTAATACCCAACCTAGTAATTTGTAGCTTCTTATTTTTAACATTTATTTTTGCAAACGAATGATATTTGTCACCTTATAAGATGGAAAGAGAAGAAACTTCATTATTCATTTTCTATTCCTTAAGAAATAGTATTTTTAAAGAAAAATAATTTAATGATTTACACTTTATTAAATAAAAGAAGAGAAAATATTGACCAGTCAAAATTGAGAATGTTTTGCTGAACATTGGAAGATTTTATGATCCACAGGTACATAAGTTCTTTTAATTTTATTTAAAGTAAAAAAAACGTTTTACTTGAATTTTTAATGTAAATATATAGTTGCTATTAATGTTAGTTGTTACTATTTTTTTCTTTTTTTTGTTCAGGCCATCAAATTCCGTGGTTTGAATACCATCAGTCCCAACAGCTCTGTGAAATGTAAGCGTTCTACTGGAGCTTCAGCAACTCCAATACCTTCTGCAGTGATGAAGAAGAGTAGTATTGGAGGCATTGCAATGACTCCACCAACTATAATTACAAGCAGTATATCAGGAGCTAGTATGCCAGCTACACCAACATCTGTCATCACACAGATAAGTAGTGGCTCTGTTTCAACTTCCACAACATCAGGTATAAGTGGAAGTTCAGCTATGACTGTAGATCAACAAAAGCAGCAACAGCTACAGCAACAACAACAGCAGCAGCAGCAGCAGCAGCAGCAACAGCAACAGCAGCAACAGCAGCAGCAGCAGCAGCAACAACAACAACAACAAATTCAGCAACATCAACCCCAACAGACGCCACAACAGCAACAACCACAACAGCCACAACAGCAACAGCCACAACAGCAACAACAACCAGAACAACAGGAACATTCATTCTCCAAGCAACGTGCTAATGTGAATCATCCATGTTATCAGTGTTCATCCTTAAATGAAAATACAGCAAAGAAATTGTGTCGGAAACAGCCATTAGCCCTTGTGGCTCATACGGAAACACAACTAATGAGAACATATCCAGCAGGCATGAGAATTGATTCTTCTAATTTCAACCCAGTAATTTTTTGGGCCTTTGGTATTCAGATGGTAGCACTCAACTACCAAACTGAAGATGCTGCTCTGCATTTAAATGCTGCTATGTTTGAACAAAATGGCCGCTGTGGATTTGTATGTAAGCCATCAGTAATGTGGGACCGTAGTCACATGATGTACAGGCGTTTCAACCCTTGGGATAAAGAATTTGATGGTTTGCATTCCACTCACCTTATACTGAATATAATTTCAGGACAGTATGTTTGTCAGAATAATCTCTCTGCCAGTGTTATTGTTGAAGTGGAAGTTGTAGGCATTCCTGTGGACTGCAATAAACAAAAAACCAAAATAGTTCAAAGGAATGCTCTCAATCCAATATGGAATGATACTTTTTTCTTTCAAGTGATGTTTTGTGATTTGGCATTTCTACGCTTTAGTGTGTTGGATGCAGGGACAAATCACTTGCTGGCACAGCGTGTGATGCCTTTGAAGTGCCTGCGCCCTGGTTATAGACATGTACGTTTACGAACTCCTCAGAACCAACCTCTTCAGCTATCTACATTGTTTGTATATTCTCGAACTGAGGAGGAAAGTATGGACTATAATGGTAGTACTCTAGAGAATGGTGATGCAATGCCACCAAAAGGTGTTGGCATGACAATAAACCGAACTGCAAGACATAGTCGAGAATTCACTGTTGACACAGTAACAAAGAAAGATATTGGAGCTCCAGGAATGGGTGCTGTTCCTCTTAAGAGGAGGATGTTTTTCTTAATGGTATATGGTGTAATACCTGAAGAGCCATACACAATTCTAAAAATTACCCAGGAAAGCACAACCCAAGAAGTTGTTCTTCAAGCTTTACAAAAAGCCAATTTGAGTGCAGATAAAGTACATGATTACATCCTTGTTGAGGAAGTTGCTCGAAGTTGGGAGAAAAAAGATAAAGATGTGCCTGCTACACAGAGAGTATTAGATTTGCAAGAGAGGCCACTACAAGCACAGGCTCAGTGGCAAGGTGAGGGACGATTCCTGCTCAAGAGAATGGGTGATGATCCAAGCAGCAGAGCTTGGTTGTCATCTATTCGCAGTACTGCTGGGCGTGACAGGCGAGTGGCAGGCTCCTGTGGAGATGCAGCCGAAAGCTTACATCAGGAACAGCAATTAAGAACATGGGAGGAAGCTGATACATTTTTAGTTTGTGTGTACAATGTATCTCCAGAAATTCCCTATGCTATTTTGAAAGTTCCTTTGAGTTCATGTGCACAAGATGTACTGGCCCAGGCTTTAGTGAAAGCAAGACGAATGGAAGATCCAGGACGGTTTGTGTTAGTCGAGGAACTGGAATGGGGGGGATCAAGTAGTGGAGGAAACAGACAACAACGTGTGTTAGGAGATGATGAAAATGTGTACAGCACCCAAGCACATTGGCAGGCTTTGGGAAGATTTATTTTGAAGGAGAGGGACCAAGTAACTCCCCCAACAGGGCGAAGGAGTCGGGTGGCTGCAAATTTACGAACAGCAACACTTGAACGATTGAGTAAAGGGTTGTCAGTTGGCAAATCAATGGCTGCAGGTGTCGGAAGCAATAAAGAGAAGGTTCCTGTGTCTGAAGCTCTGAGCGATCCTACCACATCTCGCTGCACCAAAGGTAAAGTCCCAATTCGTGGGGACACTAGCCATGGGACCAGCAGCAGAGGACACTCAGGTGTGGAAAGAGGCAGGGAGCCTATGCGTCAACAGCATCGAGAAGTTCATTCAGAAGGTGAAACTTTAAGTGATGATGATGTCAGAGATGCAGATTTAAGGACTGCAGTTTCAAGACTGAAAAAGGTGTCCCTTAGAAAGCTTGGAAAAGTCTGGAAATCATAATTTCAAATAGTGATATTCAACAATCCATGTTTTACAGCTGGTGGCACTGTCAAAAGACCCCAAATATTGCTATTTTTAGTTTCTTTATAATCTCAAATGCAAATGAGAACCTGTATTTCTATTGTACATTATTATAAATGCATCATTCATGCATACATGCATTCATAAATATTTTGTATTTGCAATACAAAAGTTATTTTCTTTGTATTAATATTATGCATGCCTGTGTGCATGCCTGCGTGCAAAAAAGTGTATATGTGTACATTTGGGCATCATTTCTATTGAAAGCGATGCATTTCTAAAGAGACTATTGTCCATTATCTGAATCCATGATCTTACAGAAGATCAACCTTGTATAAGTTTTGTTGTTACCCAGATCTAGTCATAAGAAAATTTCTGTGATACTTTTATGTATTGTACTGTTTTTCATAAGATGTATAGTGTTTCATCTTGTGAATTTCATATATTCAACTTACATGTCACAAATTTGTAAGCTTATATTTTCCTTGTTGTTAATGCTCTAATTTTATGTTAAAGAATAATTTGTATAATAATTTGTAGAATAATATGCCTACTATGTAAAGAAGCATTTCATTTTCAAAGAAGAGAGCTGTTTCATTTTCTCTTTCCAAATAATTATATTTATAATTTCATCAATGCATAATTATAATTTTCTATTGTGTCAGAAAATACATGTTATGCCCTGAAAGAAATATATATTACTGCTGCTACATTAATATTATTGTTATTATATTTTTATCTTCTCTCTTTTTTTCCATTGAAATTTATTTTCATCATTGATAGTTTAAAATGACAATATCTGCAAAACACTTCGGTTTTGTTTTGTCTTTCTAAACAAGTTGGTAAACCTGTGAAAATAACACAAAGGTTGTTACAAGCATTGCCAATCCATTATTATTAAAAAGAAATATCTTGACCTTTGTACAGAGCAGCAAAGTAATGAGACCCCTTCTCTCCTTCATTATGATTTATTGAGTTCCTTTATTAAATACCACAGCCCTGAGAAAATGCTCTTGCATTAAAAAACAAAAAAAAAGGAAATGAATACGCCATTTCAGTGAAACAAAACGTTATATATAAATATGTAAATTAAAAAAAATAGGTTTTTATACTTATTCTTGTAAGTTATTGTTAAAAACAGTAAGAAAAGTGTTTTTCTAAACTTTTACCTTATGGGTATTTGCCCACAGAGTATTGTAGATCATTGTTTGCTTAGTATGTATTAGAAGTCTGAATGGAAACGTTACAGATAACTTTCCTTTTAATAATTTATAAAAGTATTGAAGTATAAGAATATACTGGAGAGAAATGTTATATTTCCTTAGCATTGTTGATGTTTTTCTGAGCATTTATAAATGTTACAAGATGTAAAATTGGGCAAAGGAAAAGGAAAAATTATTTAAAATTAGCTTCAGTTTTATGAAATTTCATAAACTATTTAGATTCATGTTCTCTAGAACTTTATAAAAGGACTTCAGAATATGCTATGCATTTACTTTGAAGGCTTGTAAGTGACAATCATGCAAAAGTAGAACGTCTAAAGAAAGGGTGTACTTACTTGTTTGCTAGATATTGGTGCAAATTCATTTTCAAAATCAATTCTCCTGATGCATTGAATAGTTTATTTTTTTTAGGAAAGGGAGGTACTTTTTTGTTCTATAGATTTATGAAGAAATACACAGCAGTAAGAAGTTCATTGCAAGTTCTAGTCACATTGTACAACTGTAATACCAGGTAGGATTAAAGTAGACAAAAGCTTTGTTCATGAATCAAATGAACATATTTCCTATTTTTTCATACGTAATTGTGTAACCATACATGAGACAGCAGGTAAGATTTTTAATTTGTTAGAAGGATTTACATACAGAAAAAAAGAGGTATTTCACAGTAAAACTCAACAATTATTTATCTAAATCTCCATGATTAGTACTGAAATATATCAGTTATCACTAGTATCACTTCTGCATGCAGTTTCTTTATTACATATATTTTCTCAGTGTTAACAAGATATATAAGATGTCTTTTTGAGACAACTAATTAGTGCTTCTGCAACTGCTAAACAAGGTATACTTTGAGAATACTCAACAATGCAACCTTGTAGATTCATTGTTAAAGATAATAAAATTTAACTTCCACAAAACCTGAAAGTATTTTCTTTGTGTAACCTATCAGGTATATCTTGCAAGATAAAACTTGGTGCAATTTAAACCATGTCAACCTTTTATCCAATATTACCTGCTCTGCCAAAAATGTAATAGTATTAGTATCAGTCTCCGTGTTCAAATTCTTTTAGAAAAGTAGATAGGATATATAAAATAAGACATTTAAAAAGGTGACCATAGAAGCAGCTGGAGATTAAACGTTATTAAGTGATATGTTCTGCATATCACATGCATAAACATTCTTCTGTTTCTAATGAGAGTTCCTTGTTAACTTCCGTAGTAGCCATCTTAATATGCGAGCTAATATGGAGGCAATTAAACCCTAGCATAATGTACCATGCATGTGTTCCCTCTACCCAGAGTGACATTTTGTGTAGAAACCCTTGTCACCAGTGTTGTATTTTTATAACACAAATTATATGAAAAACAATAGAAGCATAAAACTGAAAGAAGTATGTACAGAGATTATGATTATAATGCAAAGAAGCTACAAACATAATTATAAATATATTTGTATGTTAACCAAACAAAATCTGTTATGTAATGTGCAGCAGTGAAGAAATGAGTAATGACGTTATCACAGTTGGTGATTAATTATTGCAATGTCAGAAAGGTCCATATTGTAACAGTGATTGACTAATTATGTATGGCTTGTATATTTGAAGGCAAGTTATTGTACAGATTAATAATGCATTTATTCAAATTAATTGTTGTATTTTTAACTATGTGTAAAATTTATTTGTTATTGAATGTGAGGAAACATAATGCTTGAACAAAGAAATTTATCTCCATTACGAAATCACTACTTGACACAAGAGTTAAGTGCAAGAGCCTTTCAAAGGCATAAGTGTGTTATATTTTGCAAACATAGAAATATTAATGTTAATTTTTTTATTGATATATATAAATATATACGAGTCAAACCACAAGTATCCACTCTTTCCATAACAAAATGTTGCTTGTAAATAATTTTCCACTTTTATATATATACATACATAAATATAAAATATATATGTATATCTTCATCTAATTTCCTTCATGTTTGTTTCTTCTGAGCAAATGTAAATTACTGAAACAATTATTGAAAGATATTTCAAATATTGTTCTCAACATATCCCATACCTCTGATGGTAACATCCAATAAATGAAATATGAGAAATTCTGTTTGTTCAATTCTCATCACACCCCAAAACCAATTATTTTAATTTAAGAGAAGATTTATGAACTTTCTTATTGTCCACAGTCCAAATGATTCCATTTTCCTGTTCCGTCACGTTTTTTATTTATTTTCTGTTTTTTAAAGAATTTTAATTTTATGAAATAACTCCTAGTTTTTAATTTGGTATGAGAGGAAATTGAAATAGTGATTAACAAAAGTAATGAACAAGCTTAATTATCTTGAAATTGACACAAAAAATAATAAACCAAATAAAAAGCATAAGAAAATATTTCTGTGAGAACAGATTCACTTTAATGAGCACAATAATTTTGAGGTTTTGTGTATATTTTGTATATCCCACATGGATACATAATTTAATGCACAATCAGAAAGAAATACAAATAATAATTGCAAAGCAAATCAGGTAGCATTTTGCTCCATTGGAACCCATTCCTTAACTACGAATGTACAACATAGAGACTTTGAAAGTAAATTATGTAATTTCCTCTGCCATTTTCTTATCTATTCCTTTAAGGTTACAGAAACTCTAAACTTAAACATAAAAAGTAAAGTTAAAAGGCTTAGAAAAAAATTTGCCTCTGAAAATATCAAAATAGATCCAATTCTCTATCCTATATACATGAAAATATTTTCAATCCTAGAGCAAATTCTTGAATGTTGTGTGTATACTACTGTTTCAGAACAATTAGAATTCTGTTTGTTTTTATTTGTTTAAAGTTAAAGAACACAAAAACAGTAATTTGCCTTTAGAAATATAAAAGATCCCATTCTTTATTGTTCACACGTGAAATAAATTTCAATTATAGAAGCAAATCCGTAAATGGTGTGTGTATACTACAGATTTAGAACATTTGGAATTGTGTTAGTAATTATTTGTGTAAAATTGAAGAACACAGATTTCTTATCGTTCAATCATGAGGCAGTTATTTGCCTTTGCAAATATTAATGATTCAATTCCCTATCGTTCACACATGAAAACATTTTCAAACCTAGAGATAAATTCTTGAATTTTGTGTGTATACTACAGTTTTATTCATTTCAAGTTAATGAATGCAGATTTACTATTGTTCACACATGAAACAGTTATTTGCCTTTGGAAATATCATTAATAATACAATTTTCAATTGTTCACTTGTGAAAATATTTTCTATATTTGAGGGAATTTCTTGAATTGTGTGTGTATACTACTGTTTCAAAACAATTATAAATTTTTAGTTTTTATTCGATTGAATTTAAAGAACACAGAAACAATTATTTCCCTTTGGGAATATAAAATATTCAAATTTCTATTATATTTTTGCTATATTAGAGGGGATTTCTTGAATCTTGTGTGTATACTATTGTTTTTTAAAAAATTTAATTTTGTTAGTTTTGATTCGTTTAAAATAGATCACATAAACAGTTATTTGCCTTTGAAAATATAAAGGTTCCTCATCTCTATCGTTTACACATGAAAATAATTTCTATCATACAGGGGAATTCTAGAGTTTTCAATTAGAAATTGTTAGTTTGTATTCGTATGAAGTTAAAAAACACAGAATGTTTTTGTTGAAATAGTTTACAGCTTTTACACTATTAAATTAGTCTTTATTATTGTACTGCCGCCGCCTCCGCCGTCGTCGTTGTCTTCGTCGTCG